CTGGTGTGAGTTTTAAGCTACCGGGACCAGGACTCAAACCATGGTAGACTACGTGGGAGTTCAGCAATGTAATCATTATACCATCTGCTGGCCCAAAGCCTCAGGGTTTTTGAGGTGGCTGTGTACCTGGATGGTTTGGAGCCTATCTCTGCCCTTGACCACGGAATGTTGTTTGTTTCAAAACAAGTATCCCAGATCCAAGATGCTTGGGACTACACGCTTCAGGTTTCATGTTTTCTATATTTGGGAAGATCTACCTGCACAAAATGAGATCTCTTGGGGATAGAACCCAAGTACCAGAGGAGCAGCATGAACACTCCCCTTGCCACTTGCAACGCATCTACGGGGTCTCAGGAAACAAAGCCAACTTCCTGACTCTCTGGCACTATATACTATTATATAAGACTGGTTACATCAGGTCAAATATGAAATTTTACACTTGTGGCATCAGGGCAATACTTAACAAACAATTTTTTCAGATTTTGGAGCATTTGGATTTTGGTGTTCAGGATTAGGGGTTCTCCACCTGCAGTCTGAGTGGCAGGCAGTCCACACTCCCTGTAAGGATTAGGGCTGAGGACCAGCACCAAGCACCAAGTAAGCCTCCTGCCCTGGAACCTGAGAAGATGCAACACCACGTACCCATTACTCACTCCCTCACTTACCAAATATTCACAGAACACGTGAGTCCTGCTGTGTGCCAGGCACTATGCCAGCAGCTGGGCCCAGGAAACCAAGTGAGGAATGGTCCCTGCCTAGAAGGAGGGCTCCAGTGGGCAAAGACCAACCCAAACCAGGCAGTTCCAGGGCAGGACAGTGGTGCTCTGATGGCCGAGGAAACACATGAGGCAGTGACGTGGTCTTGCGTTGGGGTCTGCTGAAAACTGGGGTTCCACAAAGCACTCCCGAAACCCATTAGGAGGTGCTTTCCTTTTCAGCTGAAGCCAGAGTTGGTGCCTACACCACTCGTACCCTCTTAACTCCTTTGATGGGATCAGAACAAGACAAGCAGCATGAACACTCCCCTTGCCGCCTGCAACGCGTCTACGGGGCCTCAGGAAACAAAGCCAACTTCCTGACTCTCCAGCAGCATTTCGTTCTGTTCTGCCTGTATCCGGCTTCAGTTTGCACATCTGCCAGATGACGGATATGCACAGAACTTTTGTTTTAGCTTCTTTTTGCCATAGATCTTGTGAGCTCACTAGAGACAGAGACAGAGAGAGAGAAAAAGAAATCACCCCCCAGAAGATGGCTGTGCCACAGTCCCTTCTACCCTATTCTCTTGGGATTTGGGGCATGCACGCACATGAGTCCACTGTGTTTTTCAAGGCACCTATTCCAGGACTCAAACTGCACAGTTGGCCATGTGGTTTCCAGGCATCTGAATTACTGCAACACAGCTGGCCCTGTAATATTCTTATAGGCTGGGTTTCCACTCTGCAATCACTCTGTCACTCAGCGCCAGTCCATGGCTGTGCAGGGAGAAACACTCGGTAAATGCTTCCACACAGATATGGCTTCCCTTCCCCCTTTGTCCTGGGCCTCACATGCAAGACAGCAAGTGCTGAATCTAGATGAATCTACCACTATCTCTCAGACCCCCTGCCATGGTCCTTTTCCTTTTCCTTTTTTTTTGGAGAGGTTTGTTTGTTTGTTTGTTTTGCTATAGGGCGCGGTGTGTGCTCACCACACAGAGGGAGACAGAGAGACAGAAAGTGGGAAATCACCCCTCCCCCCAAGGGTGATGACCATGCAGCAATCCCTTCTCCTCCATTCTTCTCTTGGGATCTTGAGAATGCACGCACATGCACCCGATATGAGTTTTAAGCCACAGGTCTGGGACTAGAACCACAGTTGACTACATGGTAGTCCAGCAACATAGCCATTACACTAACTGTTGGTCTCCCATGGCCCCTTTTCAAGGCCCCAGCCCACAGAACTCCAACCTCTAACCATCTCTCTGTCATTGCACAAGCTGCCCCTGTACCTGTACCCACTGCCACTTCTGGCATCTTGGTCAACAGCTTCCTAGGAACCAGAAGAAAATCCAGACTCCATGGTCTTGCCCTCGGGACTCCCTGGGTAGACTCAGGCCCACCTGTCCATGCTCATTCCTTCTCCCTAGCCCTTCTTCTTCCCTGTCCTCTGCTCCTTACCCTCCAGCCATTTTGGATCACTTGCCTTTCTAAAACTCCCTTCGCACTGTCCTCAGTTGCTTTGCTCATGCTGGACTCTACTCTACCAGTTTCCTACTACTGTTTATTGCGTGGTTACCAAGTGCCAAGTCCAGTGACTCTCCTCCATTGCTCAAGATGATTACAATTGGGCAGTATGATCCAGTGAGATAGCACGCACCCTCTAGACCCACCACCCTGCATGATGAAACCTTAGAAAGTTCATGGGTTAATCATTTTCCAGTAGACCTAAGTGACTTTTATTAGTGTGTTGCCTCACAATTTATTGCAGACAAGACTATGGTGTCAAGGACAGAATATAGAAATGGAGAGAACTCAGGTATCAAGAAATGCCGAGAGAAAAATCATGACCATGACACAGCCGTTTTAGGGGAAATAGTAACTTTATCCCACGTTCACCTAGAGCACTAGTCACCTAGTCTACAAGTTTTAATGATTTGATACACATTTGTGGACATGCCAGGCTGACCATACTAAAGTACTAGCTCTCAAAGATTGAACCATGGAATGCTAGGAACCTCTGAAAAACAGAGAGAGAGAGAGAAATAACCCCCCAGAGGGATGGCTATACCCCAGTCCTTTCTACCCTATTCTCTTGGGATTTGGGGCATGCACGCACATGAGACCAGTGTGCTTTTCAAGCCACCTGTTCCAGAACTCAACCGGCACAGTCAGCCATGTGGTTTCCAGGCACCTGAACCACTGAACCTAAAGCTGGCCCTGTAATATCCTTAGAGGCAGAATTTCCACTCTGCAATCACTCTGCCACTCAGTTCCCGTCCATGGCTGTGCAGAGAGAAACACATGGTAAATGCTTCCACACAGATATGGCTTCCTTTCCCCCTTTGTCCTCAATGGAACCACAATTGACTACATGGTAGTCCAGCGACATAGCCATTACACTAACTGTTGGTCCCCCCTGGTCCCTTTTCAAGGCCCCAGCCCACAGAACTACAACCACTAACCATCCCTCTGTCACTGAACAAGCTGCCCCTGTACCTGCACCCACTGCCACTTCTGGCATCTTGGTCAGCAGCTTCCTAGGAACCAGAAGAAAATCCAGACTCCACGGTCTTGCCCTCAGGACTCCCTGGGTAGACTCAGGCCCACTGTCCATGCTCATTCCTTCTCCCTAGCCCTTCTTCTTCCCTGTCCTCTGCTCCTTACCCTTCAGTCATTTTGGATCACTTGCTTTTCTAAAACCCCTTCACACTGTCCTTGCTTGCTCATGCTGGACTCTACTCTTACCAGCTTCCTACTACTATTCATTATGTGCTTACTAAGTGCCAAGTCCAATGACTCACCTCCATTGCTCAAGATGATTAGAACTGGGCAGTATGATCCAGTGAGATAGCACGCACCCTCTAGACCCACCACCCTGCATGATGAAACCTTAGAAAGTTCATTGGTTAATCATTTTCCAGTAGACCTAAGTGACTTTTATTAGTGTGTTGCCTCACAATTTATTGCAGCCAAGACTATAGTGTAAATGACAGAATATAGAAATGGAGAGAACTCAGATATCAAGAAATGCCAAGAGGAAAATGATGACTATGACACAGCTGTTTTAATGGAAATAATCACTTCATCCCATTTTCACCTAGAGCACTAGTCACCTAGTCTACAAGTTTTAATGATTTGATATACACTTGAGATTAGGGTTCTCCACCTGCAGTCTGAGTGGCAGGCAGTCCACACTCCCTGTAAGGATTAGAGCTGGTCCAGGCTGACCATACTAAAGTACTAGCTCTCAAAGATTGAACCATGGAATGCTAGGAACCTCTGAAAAACGTTCAGGGGAATTTTGCAAAGTCATGACAATTTCCATAACATAGATGCATTTGACTTTTTCACTCTCACTCTCTTCTAAGTGTACACTGGAATCTCCCAAAGGTTCCAGGCATGTATGATACTGCAACAAATCAAATGCAGAAGCTGGGTTGGTCTATCACCTAGTGGGTAAGGGACTTGATTCCACATGGTTCAAAGTCCAGTACCAGTGGCTTGCAAAGCAAAGGAGACTCATTTGCATGCACATTCCAAACCTCCAATAGGATGGCAAGATGGAAAACGAGGGATTGCAGATACACCAGTGCTATTGGGCGGGACTGCTTACTCCTTCTGTCTCTGCTTGCCTCTTCTGCAAGCAAACACACCCTCTGTCAATTAAAAAGAAAAGCACAGAAGTGGACAAGAGAATCTAGTGCCTTCTACTGAGCCTTATACTAAGGACAGATGCAAAACCGTAGAACAATGCTCTTTTTCTCACTAAATGTTTTTGTTTTAAAAAATATATTTTCTCATCAAAGTATTATTTTTATTAGCATGGAATGGATATATTGTTATGACTAATTAGACCAATGAATGCAGTCTTTCGATTTTCAGTTTTATTATCTGGCGCCATACATCCTACAGACACAACCCACCTAAACATAAACCCGAGGCCAAAATGTTTGAGAACTATTGTCCTAGGTCTCAAACGCCATAACTCCTCTAGCCCAGGGTCAGATAAAACCCACCCCCATCAACCTATCCCTCCCCAGGCCTGTTCTAAAGCCGACTTTAGGGAAAATATTTCCTAGGACAGCCAGGCAAGATCTCCATTTCCCGCCGAAAGTGCCCTTTTCTTCCCTGGAGAACAGGGCTGGGGGGTAGGTGGGCGGAGCAGGTGAGTGGGCGGGGCCTGTAGGCGGGGCCTCCGCACACCGCAGTGAGCGTCCCAGAGCCCCTTGGTAGGAGTCAGCAAGCTCCTCGCGTGGCATTCTGGGATGCGGTGCCCAGACTGGCCTTGACCAATAGGACGTGGCCACGTCATAAAGGGCGGTCCCCAACACACACCTCCCAGAGGCCCAGCCTTCCCCACGCTGGGGCCGCGCGGTTCTGCCCGCCGTGCTCTCCTGCCCTGGCCCGCAGCCTGCGGCCCTCCGACATGGTGGACTACTACCAAGTGCTGGGCGTGCCCCGGCAGGCCTCGTCCGAGGCCATCAGGAAGGCGTACCGCAAGCTGGCCCTCAAGTGGCACCCCGACAAAAACCCGGAGAACAAGGAGGAGGCGGAGAAGAGATTCAAAGAGGTGGCTGAGGCCTACGAGGTGCTGTCGGACGCCAAGAAGCGGGACGTCTACGACCGTTATGGCCAGGCCGGGGTGAGCGGAGGCGGCGGCGGCGCGCCCTTCCACGACCCCTTCGAGGACGTCTTCAGCTTCCGCGACCCGGCCGACGTCTTCAGGGAGTTCTTTGGTGGCCGCGACCCCTTTTCCT